CATTCCCCGCCAGGGAGGGAGCAGAGGGTGCGGAGGCCGGTACCTCGCACGAGCTGATGAGGTGCTCGCTGCACGCTGGGAGCTGGGCACGTAATGGCGAGGTGAGTGCTGGAGCCAGAGGGTACCCAGATGGTCAGTGATGCCCACTGATCTGTGCACTAGGAGATCAGACGCAAGGTCCTGTGTTAGTGATATGGTTTGAGTGTGTCCCCAGGCACTTTTGTATTGCAAGCGGGGTCCCTAGGGGGGTGAAGTTGAAGGTGGTGGCTGAGTACAGGGTAATTTGGCCACTGGGGGCACTGTCCCCCAGAAGACCCCAGTTGGTTGCCTGAGAGGGCTGTTGTTCAGAGCAAGACTGGCCTCCCCTCCTCTGGCTTCCTGTCTGGCCATGTGACCTCTCCCTCTCAGAGGCACTCCCAAGGTGATGTCAAGAGGCCCTCAACAGAGCTGGTTCCACACTTTTTGCACTTTTTGGCCTCCCAATCTGTGAGGTAAATAAACTCTTTTCTTTGTAAGTGTACAGCCTCAGGTGTTTTGTTATAGAAATGGAGAGTGAGTAGATACTGATGTTGAAACCTGAGCATGAGCAGGAGTAGGAGGGTGAAAGGTCATGGTAGAGGAAGAAGGAGCAGGTGCAAAGGCCCTGAGTCAGGGGGACTGGAGGTCTTAAGCCCTGGAGGCTGCTAGGACAGGGGATCATAGGGGCCAAGTAGAAATGTGGAGTGGGGCTAGCAAGTGTCCATTAACCTAGGCATGAGGTGATGGAGAGGGAGGAGGATGGATTCCAGAGGGGTTCAGAGAGTAGAGCTGATGTGCTGGCCCCAGGTTGGACACAAACGGTTGGGGCTGGGGGGTGGTCAGGATGCTCCCTGGGTGCTCTGCCTTCTACAGAGCAGAAGAGCAGGGAGGGCAGGCCTGCAGGGGGACCCTGTATTTAGACTGGACTGAACCAGAGAGTGAGGTCCTTCTGAGACTTGCAGCTGGGGAGGAGAAGCTGTGGGGCGGGGGGAGCTGCCGGAGGAGGAGGGCAGAGCCGGACGGAGGGGAGTTAGATGGGCCTTGAGGGCTGCCAGACGCATAGGAGGCGGCTTGGAGGAGGGTCCTCGGTCCCTTCTGGTGTTGGCAACACAAGACTCCCCTGTTCTGGGTGGCTCTGGTGGAGAGGTGCCACGCTCTGGTGGAGAGGTGCCACGCCCCCCCACGGGGGCCTGTGCCTGCTGCACGCCTGCCCTGCCCCGGAGGAGCAGGAAGGTGCAGGAAGGTGCAGGAGGTGCGGATGTTCTGCATCCTACTGCTGGGGCTGCAGGTGGGGCTTACACCCCTCGCTCTCCTCCACACTTAGCACTCCTTGCAGGCTCCCAGGGGACCTGGGACTCCTGCCTAACACGCACGTGGAGAGCTGTGGGCACATGCAGTTGTGAGTGTGTGTGCACGGGTGTGCCCAGGTGTGCACGGGTGTGCCTCGGATCTGCCCCGTGCCAGCTTCCAGCCGCTCAGAAACACGGGGTCTGGATGGGCCCTGGGCACTGTCCTTCTGGAAGCCTGGCTCTCCTCATTCAGCTGCGGGACGTGGTGATCAGGGAGCAGACGGCCCAGGGAAGTCACTCAGAAGATGACAAGGCCGAGTCAGTCGGTGGGGCGCCCAGGGCAGGTGTTCAGCCAACACCCAGAAGAGACTCAGCAGAGCCAAGGCCAGCACCCGGAACTTGCCAGGGACGCAGCGAGCAGAGTCCCTCTGATCCTTGGGTGGTGGGGGGTTGGGGAGGG